GCCCCCCCGGTGTCCGGCAGGCGCGGCGCGGCGCGGCGCGGCTCGCAGGAAAAGCGGGGAAGGCAAGTCCGCGTGGTGCTGCGACCCCGGGCGCTGCGTGAGTGAGCTCGGGGCCCATTGACCGCCGTGTTCGTCGAGCAGCGGGTTACACAACTCGGGAAGCGAGAGGCGACTGACTCGTGGGGTTTCCATAGCAGGCTGGGGAGGGGAGTCCAGAAAAGGGCGGAGACCCCCCGAGGTGGGAGATATCGGTGCAGTCAACACACGAGTCCAGTGTTTGCTTTAGAAACATTGGAGCCCTCCCAAGGCAGATTTTTTTGAGGACAAGGCGGGGCCCGATCCCCCCCCTCTGCCTCTTCCCAGGGTGCAAAGTGATGACTTTTGGAGGAAGAGTCATTCAGTATCTCAGCAGCGATTCCCGTGCCCTCCAGAATGCGGAACCTTTTGGCGTTGCTGTTTCCATCGGCATGTTCCTTGCGGCACTCCTGGCAGCTGTCTGGGAGGCAGGAGAGCCTGTTTATTACTTGCCTGCTTCCAACTGTTCTGAAACTAGACTTTAGACCAGTGGTTCACAAACTTTTGGGCATCACGCCCCCTGTCTGATTTTGGAGAAACCCTCACGCTCCCCTCCCCCCAATAGCAGCAAAACTTGTTGAGCAAAAAAAAAAAAGAACTGACCGGGGCTGAAAAATAGCAGAGAAACTTAGGGGGAAGGATTGACAGTGGGGGGGGGAATGGGACACCTCACGCCCCCTCTGGAATTTCTTCATGCCCCCTCAGGGGGGCACATCCCCCAATTTGGGAACCCATGCTCTACGGCAGTGGTCACCAACCAGTAGATCGGGATCTACCAGTAGCCTCTGACAGGAGATCCTTCCTGATTTGGCCAGGAAGCTCTCAAGCGCTGATGCCCCTCCACCCATTGTCCTGCTGCTCCTGCCCTCAGGATTTGGGGAGGAAGTGGGGTGGAGTGAGCAGGGTGAGGCCTTGGAGCAGGGGTGGGGGCTCAGAGAAGTGGGGGAAGGAAACCGGGCAAGGATATTTGGGTTTGAGGTAGATCTTACTTTGCACTTACATTGAAAAAGTGATCATGTGGTTAAAAAGGGTGGAGACCACTGCTCTACGGAGACACCCGAGGGGCTACAGGGAACGACTCGGCCTGGCCCCAGCCGGTTGCTCCAGGGCTGGAGTGATGTTGAAGCGGCTGGCCCTGCATCCGCCCTTCCCCACTCACCCAGCCCCTCCGACTCCAGCCAGCGGGGGACCCATCAGCGGGGCTGAGCAACGCACAGCCGGCTACTGCCCACACCCTGCCCCCTACAGTGCTCCCTCTGGCGGGGCAAGACGGGCGCTCGGTCTCCACACCTCAAGCAGTCGCTGGCCTCTGCTGAGATGGCCGGTCAGTGTGGCGCACGCTGGCTTCCCTGAGGCACACACCTGCCCGCGGGGGACACGACTGAGACCCACCAAACACACTGCACAAAGGCTGCCGGGATGCTAACTCTCCTCGTCCCCCTGGCTGGATTTGGCCCAGCGACCGAGAGAGAAAGCCCTCCCGGCCCCTTGGCCAAGCTGCCAGCAGCCATGGCCTCTCTCCTCTGCCGCAGCTCTTGAGTCCTGCGACCGGGCAGCTACCTCTGCTGGTGCACATCTGACCCAGCCATGCCCCACCGAATGGGAGGTAACTCCCAGTCAAAGCTGGGTCACTCAGCCACTAGCAGGCCCCAGGGACAGCTTGAGCCGTTCCTGCACCCCGGGCAGCGGGCGCACGACACATGCGCGGCTCCACCCCCGGCGCTATGCACCTTACAGCTGCCATCAGGCGCCGTGTGCCCGGGGCTGGGGGTCGCGCAGCACCTGATGGCAGCTCTAAGGGGTGGCTGGGCATGCGGCGCCCCTTACAGCTGCCATCGGGCAGTTGACCGGCTAGACCTCCCCTTACCCCGGCCCTGGAAGGCCCCTCTATCTCTGCTCCTGACAGACCCTGGCGCTGCACCCAGCCGCTAGTCCTGTCTGAGGGAGACCCTGGCGTCTGCTGGGGAAACACTCAAAATTCAAACCCGGGACCGAGGGGAGGTGAAGTCGGTCCGGGCAGCGCTAGAAGCAGCAGCCCTGGGACTGTGGCAGAGACAAGCTCTTCCACAGATGTGACCAGCCAGGCCTGGTGCCACCAAGAGGTTCAGAGAAACTTCCAGAAGCTTCTCCAAGCCAAGTCCGAATGCTCACAGCCCCCTTCATCTCTATACCGGCTACTCTTTGGGGCTGGCTGGCCCGGGAAGATGGAAATAGGGGCCGGGGAACCTTTGCCCTGCGGGGTTGTTGGTTTGAATCCCGCTCAAATCACCAGTGATTAGCACTTGACGCTTGTGTGATGCCTTCTACGAGGTGCATCAGTGGGAGAAAAAACCTCAGCGGGTGACAAATGTGGAGCGTGGCTTGGCAAAGCAGCCAGCAAGTGAAAGGGCCCTGGGTGCTAAAATCCCCTCAGGATGGACTAGATTGTAGCACTTTGGAAGGGCAGCCTGGAGGAGCTTACCTGGCCACTGTGCGGGTTGCACCCTTCTCCCCCAGGAACATCAGTTGGATGCCATTTTCTGGGTCTAACAGGCATGCAAAGGGGGGGGGCAGAAAACCAGCCCACACTGGGAGCAGAGAGGAGGGGGCTGAGTGCCAGTCAAGCCCCTGAGAAGACAGCATTGTGCATTGCCACTGATGGGGGGTCACGGCCGGCTCAGGCAGAGCTGTAGACGAGCAGGCAGCATGAATTGCGGGGCTGGGGGGTGTTGCGGAAGCAGAGCCACTGCGGTGAAGGGGCAGAGCTTAGCTGGTGCATGCCGAGGACTCTGCCACCCCCCAAGACTCAGCGCCCCCATGCTGCAGATTAGCACATGCAAGGTGGGGCTGGGGGTTGGGGGCAGGTGTCCATGAGGCAGTGGAGAGCGGCCAGGCCTGCCCCGCACACCAGGCGGCTCCACTCAGCACCTAACGGGCAGGCCTCAACTCAGCCGCACCAGCCTCTCATTCAGGAGCTGGGCTCTTACGAAAATCCAGCCCTGTGGTGGATGCTGAATCGGTCCAAACACCATCCCTCTCCCCACCCGAGCGTATCAGCTCCAGCGACTGAGGGCACGAGAGCCAGGCGCCGCGACGGGCACTGCCCACCTTACCTGGCCAGTGGTGAAGGAGCGTCCATAGCCCTGTCCCCGAGGGTGCATTCTGGACGGGGTGCAGCAGCTGGGACAGGTACAGATATATGAGTCAGAATAGTGCCTACTTGCAAACCTAATGAGAGACAGCGGGGGGAAAAGGATTCGGACCAAAAGCAACACATTCAAGCAGAGCATTTGGAAACAGCTCAGTGCCTGGGCTCCCGTCGGCTGCTGCCATCCGCACCCCCACCCATCACGTGCTCACCACCCCCTCTGCAAACTCCCCACGCAGCCCCCGAGCCAGCAGGGGATTCTCAGAGCCCTGGCGGGCTTGAGACCCAAGCAGCTTGCTGGGAGGCAGCCCTAGCCAGTCCACTTCTGGCTAGGCAAGGCCCATGTGTCGGGCATATGATTGCACAGCTGACCCATGGTGCTCCACACCACCCCGGAGCAGAGAGACGTGTTGATAAGCAGGGCAGGCTTCAGAGTCATAGGTAGCAGCATGGGGCTGACAAAAAGAGGGTGAGCCAAGGCCATGGGGAGAAACAGAGCAGGTTACCCGGCAAGTGTTGCATCCTTACCTGGGCCGCCAACACCTGAGAGCACTATAGCCTTGCTGACACAGGGACTGCCACCACTGGTGTGAGCCCCTCACACAACCCCATGCAGCAGTGCAAACTCCTACTGCTGGCCTGATTTACATCAGCCTAGTGCAATGGTGCAAACCTTTATCTTTAAACACAGTTTGTACCAGTCCAGCATAATTGACACCAGTGCAGACTCTTAATACAAACACTGTTGGCACCAGTGCATGATTTACACCAGTGCAAACCCCTCGTCTTAACACTGCAGTGTGATTTGCACTCTAGGGCTACGTCTAGACTGGCATGATTTTCTGCAAATGCTTTTAACGGAAAAGTTTTCCGTTAAAAGCATTTGCGGAAAAGAGCATTAGATTGGCATGGACGCTTTTCCGTAAAAGCACTTTTTGCGGAAAAGCGTCCGTGGCCAATCTAGATGCACTTTTGCGCAAAAAAGCCCCGATCGCCATTTTCGCAATCGGGGCTTTTTTGCTCAAAACAAATCTGAGCTGTCTACACTGGCCCTTTTGCGCAAAAGCTTTGCGCAAAAGGACTTTTGCCCGAATGGGAGCAGCATAGTATTTCCACAAGAAGCACTGATTTCAGACAGTAGGAAGCCAGTGTTCTTGCGGAAATTCAAGCGGTCAATGTAGACAGCTGGCAAATTTTTCCGCAAAAGCAGTCTAGACACAGCCTAGCATTTAATCCCAATTTCAAAGCAGTCACCCTCTGCCCCATTCCTGCAACAGTGACAAATTGCACCAATGTGAAATCCCACTGCACTGGTGCAAACTGTGTTTAAAGTCCCTTTTAGTCAGGAGTTTACAACTGTGGCTAAAATCCCTGCAGAGACAAGAACCAACCCTTAGAGAGTCAGACAGTTCAAACTTTCTCTGAACCCCAATACTATTTGTTTCACAGATCTGGATGCACAAAAATGCCTGGTTACTTGTGCAACGAACTCCCGTTACTTGTGCACCTAACTCCCTTTACTTGTGCTCTTAACTCCTGGTTACTTGTGCAACTAACTCCCTTTACTTGTGCACCTAACTCCCTTTACTTGTGCTCTTAACTCCTGGTTACTTGTGCACCTAACTCCTGTGTCTACAATTGGATCCCCTCATGTGCACGCTGCACCCACACAGAACCTCCCTGCGCCAGTCTGTGTCCACTGCTCCGAGCGCAGGGTCTGGACCCCTATTTGCAAATGCAGCTGCAGTAATTGCACATGCAAATGCCCAGGAAGCTGGATATCATCTGTGTGGGCACATTTACCAGAGTTGCGCCATCAAACCCACGGGCATTTGGAACAAGTATTTCTGAAAATCTGGGTCCTCTAAAAATAGGCGGGACACTTGCATTTCCTGTTTGTGTCGGCCCTGCAAAACTGACTGTTTCCCAGTGCAAAAGCTACTCGCCAGCATTCGTGGAGGTCAAAGAAAATGGAAGAGTTTAATCTGGAAACTGTCCTGGCCCCGTGCTCCCTCCCAGCCGGAAAAATCTTTGGGCCAGGGATTCTCTCCTTGGACGTGTATGTGCATCCCCTAGCACAGGTCACAACCAGGGTCTTTGGGCACGACAGAAGTGAACACGATAAAGACTAGACACAACAAGCGAGTAGAGTTGTGTAAGGCTGATCAATTTCATTATTCAAATCTCCCTTCACTAAGCTGACCCAAGGGTGTTTAAGGTGCAAATCTGCTTGGGGAGGGGAGGCGAAGGGTTGGTGAAATCCATGGTGGTATGGTTCTGTGGGGCTTCATTTAAAAGAATAAACTGTGTATTTTAGCCTGAATTCCCTGCCAGAGACACGGTGGAATCCATCTCTCACGAAAGCTGAAGTAAAACCTCTCCAAGCCCCTGCACCCACCGCTCCAACATGCGTCCCTAATACCCCCACTCTGCACCCATCTCCCCAACATCCTTCTCTGACAACCCCTCCCCCACACTGCACAAGGGATGTAAGCAACTAGTCAACTACCCGATAAGCATATGAGTAGTGACTCAACAAGTCGCTTCCCACCCCCCTTGCTGCCTCTGCCAGAGAGAGGCAGCAAGGGATGGGGAGCAGAAGCTGATGCTTTGGGGAGCTGGCTTAAAAGCCAGCCCGCCCCAGCATCGTCTCGGGGGGGACGGGGAAGCAGAGGTGAGAAGGGGATCAGGCAGAGTCAGGAATCAGCTGATTCCCAGCTCAGTCCCAGACACTGCACCTCTGCTTTTGAAATGTATTAAGAGCTGCCAAAAAAGCAGACAGCATTTTTCCCTGACAATGCAGAGGTGCAGCCGGGGGGATGGGAGCAAGCCAGGAATCGGCTCTCCCGGCTCACTCCCAGTTCCCCCCGCTGAGTGTCTGCTTTTTAAATGTATGAAGAGCCACCCGGCTCCTAATGCATTTAAAAAGCAGAGGCGTAGGGGAGGGGGGACCAGGCACGAGCTGGGGATCAGCTGATTCCTGATCCCCCCGCTATGCCCCTGCCTTTTAAAGAGCCTGGCGGCTCTTAATACATTTAAAAGGCAGAGCCGCAGCAGGGTGAGCTCGCTGGCCCGGAGAGAACCCAGCTGCAGCTCTGCAGTTTCCCCCCTTATCAACTAATCAAGTAGTCTATGGAAATTCCATCCACTACTCAATTAGCTGCTTCCCTGCACCCACCTCCCCAATATCCTTCCCTGACCACCCCTCCCCCACCCTGTACCCACCTCCCCAATATCCTTCCCTGACCACCCTCCTCCGCCCTTAATCCACATCCTCCAAAATCCTCTCTCCTCCCTGCCTCCTGCCCCTCTCCCAGCCGGCATCCCCAGAGGAGGTTCCTAGTGGGCCTGGCTCTCGGGCCCTCTCTTACTTGGTCCTGGCCTGGCCTAGGTCCCTGACCACCCCTCCCCCACCCTGTACCCACCTCCCCAATATCCTTCCCTGACCACCCTCCTCCGCCCTTAATCCACATCCTCCAAAATCCTCTCTCCTCCCTGCCTCCTGCCCCTCTCCCAGCCGGCATCCCCAGAGGAGGTTCCTAGTGGGCCTGGCTCTCGGGCCCTCTCTTACTTGGTCCTGGCCTGGCCTAGGCTGGAGGAGCGGCGG